CAACCCAACAGTGATGGCCTCCAACCCAATAGCGATGGCCACCAACCTACTAGCGATGGCCTCCAACCTGACAGTGTTGGCCTCCAACCTAAAGCGATGGTCTCCAACGTAATAGCGATGGCCTCCAACCTAAAGCGATGGTCTCCAACCTAATAGCGATGGCCTCCAACCTAACAGTGATGGCCTCCAACCCAATAGCGATGGCCTCCAACCTTATAGGGCCTCCAACCCGGTTTCAGTTGGTTTGCGAGGCCATGGACATCTTGAACTCCATGTGTGAGGCCCGAAGCGAAGGGTAGGCTCAAAGCATTGATTAAAAAATCTATAGCAGCTTGTTCTATTTTGGTCTTGAGACTTTTTCTATAGACCTTTCATTTTTTGTTTTTCTCTTTCTTGAATAAAAACATCGATACCTAATGGATTTTTTGTAGTTTGTTTGTTTTTTTTTCCGACTGGAGGCTTTCTGCCCTTTCCACCCAACCAGCTTTACTCACTTTCACTTTCAGGCCCTCGTGGCGCGAGGATACTGCCTGCTTCAGCGGCCTCCGCAGCCAGCTCGAGCGGAGGAAGCTCGAGAAAATGCTGAGAAACTGCAGGAGCTCTATGTAAAACTGGGAAGAATGACTTCTACCCTTGCCATGACTCGATGTGACGATATGACCAATGTCTGACAACCAAATGAATACCTACGTCCTACTTGTCTCCAGGACGTAGGTTGGCTACGGGCCGAGACAGAGGAAGCCTACCTCGGCTCGGAAAACATGACACGGATCAAGGACTGCCCGTGCTCCTCATGGTCGGTGCCGCTCGATCGCGCCGATTTCACGAAGTCCAGGAGCTTCGTTTGGAGGAGACCCAAGCGGAGACTGACCAGGAGGAGACAGAACTTTTTACATGTTTTTACCGGTCAAATCTTTCTTGCTAGTTAGCTGTTTGTCTCCCAGCTAGATACCTCTATGGGGAATCAGACGTGGGGAAGGTCCGGGAAGGTTCAGCGTGTTTCACTTCCGCAATGGAGAAGGTTTGATGTTGAGAAGGATTTTGGTGGATTCCTTTGAGAATGTTTTGCTCGAGGCTTTGGAGGACCCAAAGGAGGATCCAGCCTTGGAAGACACCAAATCCGAATCCAGCTGGTTCGACCCAGAGCTCTACGGCTCAGAGTCTGAGGCTGAAGCGGTTCCAGAGGAGGGCAAAAAGGAACACTTTGGAAAGAATCCTTGATTTTGAATGATTCGAGGATTTTCTTCTCTTTTTCCGCTGTTCATTCCTTGTCTTTTCTCGGGAAGTGACGCCAGCTGGAAGGAGCCCAAACTGAAACGGCGGAATGCCCCACCAGACCTTGCGGCATTGAAGGACAGTGCGCGGGCAAACCTGAACTCGCAAGGGTCAAACGATGTAGAGCATCATAAAGAATAGCAACAAGATGGCATTCATTCGTTTGAGGGGTCTTGAGCACATAGAGGATAGAGCTTTCGTGTTCCTTACAAGCAGCATGACCTTCTGAGAGTGACATTTGAGTATTTTGTTATGTTCCCCACCGCCCCTTGCCAGGAGTTTAATCAGCACTTGAACTCCTTAGCCGAGCTGCTGGCCAACAGTCCATCTGCCTTTGGTTCCCGTGCAGTGTCGCATGGCTGGATCAACTCACCAAACTTGGCCAATACAACCAATGGCATCCAGTTTGTCGTTTTTGCACGCAGTGGACGGGATTCTCATTTTTTTGGACCAAAAGCAATCACTTGAAACAGATGCACGTAGATCACATGTGGATCACATGGATCAGGTATAGCCAGACGGGGACCATCCTGAGGGTTCCGCACATGGCGGAGGGCGTGTCGCTGGTGGGCCGAGCTGGAGCCATGGACGAGCGGGACAAGCTCATGGCCGAAGAGTTCATGATGTGGGTCTCACGGCAGAACTCATTGGTTACACTAGAACGTATGACAAAATGGGTGTAGAAGTCACAACACCGAGCTACATTTGGCTTCAAGTGAGCTGGCATCAATCATGAAACCAGACAAGCTTTTGGGTCGATAATTGAAATTTGGGTCTCCGTCTTTTCTTCTGCAGCGAGGTTGTGGCACGTAGGCTTTGCCTCTTCTACAAAGTGGAGGGTCAGGGCATCCTCGAGCTCAAGCCGAAGAATCCTGAGGCTTGGCAGAGATCTTTTCTTCTTCCACCTTCGGCAGACTCCAATTTCAATTGAAGAATGGGACCCTTCAGGCTGCAAGCCCTGGTCGATTGCTGCTGAAAGCCGGATCAGTCGCGCTCTTTAGATCCGACTTGCTAGACTACAGGCCGGTGCACTTTCTCTTTCTGGTCTCTTCTGAAACGTGCAAACACATCTCTCACATGCCCTCACTACCTGTCCTTGACTAACTGCAAGACCTTGCCCACAACCTGAAAGCAACCCTGAAAACAACATCAGCGGGCTACTAGGGGCTCCTGGCCTTACTACTAGGAGCAAGGACGCTACTAGGAGCAAAGGGCATCGCTACTAGGAGCAAGGAAGCTACGAATGGGGCTCTTGGCCTTCAGAGCATTGGACTCGGACCGCGAGGTATTTACCCGACAGCGATGAGTGCCTGGTTTTGCAGACCTGGCTGATGGATAAGTTGGAACCGCTGCACTTTCGAAAGCTCCCCAAATGCCCAGGAGACGTCCTCGCCTTTGAGGTGTGAGGTGCTTTATGCCAACATCTCACCGCCATGAAACTCCAGTCACGACCGCTTTGCTTTCTCACAGACACGAGAAACCGCTGTGAGGAGACCAAGGCTGCGACCGAGTGCATGTGAAGTCCATGACAGAGCGCTTCCCCGCTGGGGCCGAGAACTGCGACATGAGCTTTGCGTATTTGGGCTGCACACGGAAAGCTGGAAGCAATATGAAACAATAGACACTGTATCCTGTAGAAAACTTGAGTTTGGGACATGTTTGGAAGTGGATGAGGGTTGGGGAAGGGTGCAAAACAAGGAGGCCATTGCTCGAATGGACTTGAAACCAAGGCTTTTCACTGCTGGCAGTGACACCCTTCTAGAGCCGCCCTTCACCCGCTTTGACAAGGAACCATGGATTTGAAGAAGTTGAGATGGAGAGTCTCAAGAGATTTGAAGAAGCTACTAGAGTCTTGGAAAGTCTTTCCCGTGGCTATTAGGGTGGAGGCCATCGCTATTAGGGTGGAGGCCATTACTAGGTTGGAGGCAATTGCTATTAGGTTGGAGGCCATTGCTATTAGGTTTAAAGTCTTTCCTCGTTTCACCCGAGCCATGAGTCTGTGAGGATTTGTATTGGGCTCCTGACCGTGATGCACCGTTGCGGGGTTTGGCCTACATCATCCATGGCCACCAGGTTGAAGGGTCTTGAAGCCAAAGCGTGCAAATCCTTACTAGGAGCAAGGATGCTACTAGGGGCTCCTGGCCGTACTACTAGGAACAAGAAGCTACTAGTAGCAAAGGGCATCGCTACGAACGGAGCAATGTTCGCTACTAGCATCTCTTCTTCGGCACCCTCTGGATCCTGATTGCCCGATGAGGTTCATTTGTCGAGGAGGACCAGCTTATTGGCACCCAAGCCGCAGTTTGTCCAATGAAAGGGAGTGACATGAAGCACCTGTGGGGGTGAAGTCTTTGTTTTCTTCTGAGAACCACGGGTTTGATGATGAAGAGCTGCAGAGACTTCTGGTCCTGTTGATGTTGTTGGTGACAAATAGCAGATACACACTGGCAAATACACAAGCTGGAGGCGGTTGGAGAACATTGCTAGGAGGTTAAAAGGTCTTTGAGCCTTGTCATCCCTAGTAGCGTCCTTGCTCCAGTAGCTTCTTGTTCCTAGTAGTAAGGCCAGAAGCGCCCCTACTAGCGCCCTTGCTCCTAGCACTAGTAGCTTCTTGTTCCTAGTAAGGCCCCCAGTAGCGCCCTTGCTCCTAGTAGCGATGCCCTTAGTGACTCGTGGCTTAAGGCCAGGAACGCCCCTAGTAGCGTCCTTGCTCCTAAAAGGGTCTTTAAGCGTCATCCGGATGACGAGGCTTCGACAACGACTTCTTTGGCATCGACATTGAGGAGGCCCAGGCTTTGGCACCCAGCCAGCGGTGGGTCATGGAAGTTGGCTACGAGGCGTGAACATGTGTTTGAGGCATACCATGGTGTCCGACTTACCTTTCTTTGTTAATCTCTTTGCGTACATGTTTTACATGTCTTTTCTGTTTTAATGCATGATATGATATTATATCATGGTACTTCATGGTACCCTTTTGTACCAATGGCCTACCCTGACCTGATACTGAATGATTTGAATGGCACTCGTGACAGGTGCTGTGGAAAGCCGGGTGGACAAAGCCGACACTGCGTGGCCAGCGCATCGGCTCCTTCTTGGGCGATTCTGGTTCCGAGTGGAACTTCATCTACCTGAAGAGGGATCGCTATGCGCGCCTTGGTTCTTGAGGCAGCACTGTTTAAATGTATTTAGACCTCACCAGAACCACATCCACAGAGATTTCCCCACTCAGGATCAGCAACAACACTGGCTGGGTTACGTGCTCTCGCCTGGGACATACCCTTGGCCGCATGGTGGAAAGTTTGCACGCGTGTCAAAATATGATTTGATTTAAACCGAAGTGATTCGAGCAAGCATGTCACAAGATTTGTCTCGGGCATTGAAACATCCATAAACGAAGCGACTTTCCAAGCAAAGCAGTGAAACACTGGGGACACAAAGGCCTGACCGGTCCCAACGTCACTGTGGACACAGCCTGCTCCGCTTCATTGGTGGCGACCAACGCAGCAGCGCACATGATGGTAAGGCGGGCCTGCCAAAATGGCAGAAATACTCTTCAGGGATTCCCGTCGCAATTAGCTTGGAGGCCATCGCTACGACCGGAGCGTTTGGACGCTACTAGGGGCGCTCCTGGCCTTATTAGGAACAAGAAGCTACTAGTAACAAAGGCCATCGCTACGAACGGAGCGTTCGGGCGCGATTAGCTTGGAGGCCATCGCTAGCAGGTTCTTTTTGCAAAAGCACTCTGATTTCGGCTATGCCTTTGAAAGGTGGATGATACAGGTAAACGTAGTGACATTGGTTTCCACCTCCAAGACAGGAGAATACTCTAAAAATATACACGGGTGTCGTGCCACTACTGCTGCTGTGAGGCGGAATACTCGGATTGGTGAGAAGATCGCCCCACTCTCCGAGGCGAGCAGATCGGTAGGTGTTGCGAATGAAAAGACAGAGAGCGACCAACAGAGACCAAGCCAGGACAACATGAAAGACCAAGCGCAGCTGAAATATGCTGTTTGCATGGGTGTTTTGGTGATGCTACATCCTGGCGGCTGGATCGGCGAGTGTGCTGCCACGATGCTTTCCTACAAAGGCCGTAGGAGACTTAAGTTTTTCTGCCTAGCGGTTCTTGCAAATCAAAGATGTCTCGAGGGTTAAGAGCGAATGGCTATTTGTGGTGTTTTGGTTGATCCTTGTGGACCACAGTTAGCAGTGTATCAGAGAAAATCAATGCCCTCGGCTCAGGTGCCTTCACCTTTGATGTCGGGGCCGATGGCTTCATCCGCGGTGAGGTGCCCTCACTGCTTCCTGTTTGGAAGGGGCTGAGTCCAAGACAGTAGGACTAGCCAATTCTTATATTATTCTTGAATATTTTATATATGCATGTGATATTGAACACTATATTGTTTAGTATTATTGATATGTGTGCATGATATGTATACATACACACATGCATGCATCATATTTGTAGCTCTTCTTTCTACAGGTTTCATTATTTGTCACATCTCTCTCTCTCTCTTTACATATATATACACACACATTTTCTGTCTTATTCCTATCCATTTGTTCCTTTCTTCCACTCTGACCAAAGTAGACTTTGAGGGTAGTTGAGTTCAGGCCAAGACCTCCAGTGCGTGCGTCCCACTTCTTTCTCAGTCCTTTCTCTCGGTTCCTCTCCATTTGCCCATTCCGCGTTGCATCAGGGCTGTTGTGCCGTACATCTTGCGGCCGAAAATGATGGAGAGCGTGCTGCAGGGGAGCGCTCGCTGGCAGTGCTACTGGGCTCCTGCGCAAACCAGGCAGTGTCATTCCAATCGAACGCACCTTACCCGGTAACCCCTTTTCGTTTTGCTTTCATGTCTTTTTCAAGACTGTTAGACCCTTAGACATTCTTTTATGCTTGTTTTTGCATGTGTTTTCCGGTACTTTTCTATGCCACATGCAATTCCTGCTCTGAAGCAAGAATTTGGTAAGGGCCTCTTTCCCACAGGACGGTCGCAGTGCTTCCCTGACAGCTCCACACGGGCCATCACAACAGCTGCTGGGCAAAAACCTGATTCAAACATATGTTTTTTCAATTTCTTGTTTTTTTCTCATTCCGTTGGTGCAAAGTGAAAGCAAGAGGAACCAAACATCACGGGATGAAGAATCACTGCATCTGAGGATGTGCATCCGGGCTTCCTTGGCCGAGGCGAAGCTGGAGCCTGGAGAGGTGGAGCTTGGAGTCTTTCCGTTGTAAGCTAATTCATGCCGGTGGGTTCCACCCCGCCAGGTGCAGGTGGGCGAATGCCATGGGACGGGGACCGCGCTGGGTGACCCCATTGAGATTGGAGCTATGAAGAGCGTGCAGTCATATGCCCAGACATTTATCTTAGGTTGGCCATTGCAAGTAGGTTGGAGGCCATCGCTAGTAGGTTGGAGGCCATGGCTTCTGGGTTGGAGGTCATCGCTATTAGCTTGGAGGCAATCGCTATTGGGTTGGAGGCCATCGCTAGTAGGGTGGAGGCCATTGCAATTAGGTTGGAGGCCATCGCTGTTGGGTTGGAGGCCATCGCTAATAGCTTGGAGGCAATCGCTAGTAGGGTGGAGGCCATTGCAATTAGGTTGGAGGCCATTGCTGTTGGGTTGGAGGCCATCGCTGTTGGGTTGGAGGCCATCGCTAATAGCTTGGAGGCAATCGCTATTGGGTTGGAGGCCATCGCTAGTAGGTTGGAGGCTATCGCAATTAGGTTGGAAGCCATCGCTATTGGGTTGGAGGTCATCGATATTAGCTTGGAGGCCAGCGCTATCAGGTCGGAGGGCATCGCTAGTAGGGTGGAGGCCATTGCTATTGGGTTGGAGGCCATCGCTAGTAGGGTAGAGGCCATTGCTATTGGGTTGGAGGCCATCGATTGGGTTGGAGGCCATCGCTATTGGGTTGGAAGCCATCGCTATTAGCTTGGAGGCCGGCGCTATCAGGTTGGAGGCCATCATTGCTAGTAGGTTGGAGGCCATCGCTAGTAGGGTGGAGGCCATTGCTATGGGCCATCGCTATTGGGTTGGAGGCCATTGCTATGAAACTTGGTCATCATCCTGTTTCATTTGCTTGCCACATGCGTCTGCATTCCTTGCGCGCTTTTTCCGCGTTGGTCCTGTTCGAGGTTTAACAAGCGCTCCAACCCCCTGCTGCACGCTTCAGCAAAGTCCAATGTGGGCCATGAGGAGGCGAATGCCGGAACCTGCGGTTTCATCAAGGTTTGCATGCTGCTGAACGGCGGGGCCACTCTGCAGAGATTTGGAACAATAGCGAACACCCCGTACTATTTGGCTCGGAGAATGGACTTATACAACTGTTTTATGTACCCTCCGCTAGCTGAAATTAATCAAGGAGGGGGGTCTGCTCAATTATTTTTTCTCAATTAATTAAGAAATCACCCGAGAATGTCGTAGAAATTCATGCTCGGGAGAAGATGTTGGATAAAGAAAGTTAATTGGGATTTTCCCCGGCATTCCCCGGCTGTGCCTTGGATCAAGCTAGGGCAAGGTCTGTGGAAAAATAATCAAGAGGGTCTAGAGATGCTTCAGACCCCTCAATTAATAATCAAGATGAGCTAGGCCATCAGGGGCCATCAACTAGAATTGTTCGCACATATATTCCCGTAGAGTTGCAGAATCATAAAGAAAATTAAAGACTACAAAAGGAATCTCATGTCAGTTTTCAAGAAACTTGATTTTAGGGTACGCCATGACGGACGCACCCCTCAAAAACTTGAGGGGGTTTAGCCTCTGGGAGAGGGGTCGATTAATTTAGTGGGCAGGCATATTTTTGGGAAAGTGCAGGGGCAAAGCAAAAACCTATGAAGGCCAACAAGAAAAAGTACTAGAACACCCTGGAACACTAGATCCACTTGCAAAAACCACCAAAATCCAGGCAGAATATTAGCCACCACACTCAAAACCACAAAGTGGAAATTAATTGAGGGGGGGTTAGCCTTTGGGAGAGGGGTGGATTAATTTAGTGGGCAGGCATATCCCTGGGAAAGTGCAGGGGTAAAGCAAAAACCCATGAAAGCCAACAACGAAAAGTACTAGAACAACACCCTGGAACACTAGACCCATTTGCAAAAACCATCAAAAACCAGGCAGAACAGTAGCCACCACACTCAAAACCTCACATTCATTGTTGTTCAGACTTCTTTAATCTTCTTTATACAGTTTTGTTATGTTTTGTTGAGTTGGCTTTGTTAGGTTAGCTTTGTGCAGCGTCCAGTAGCCGTTCATTAGAATTCTCTAGAATGTTCAGCTGACGGGGCGCTGACATCATGAGACCAGAATAGACAGAAACCAGATCTTTGAGGAGAAAATATTGCGGAAGTTGCCAGAATTGTTTTCAAGGGTTGCCAGAGTTTCAAGGGCCAACAGTAAAAATTAATCGAGGGGTTGCCAAGGGGCTCTTTACTGGTCATTTTATTTTGGAAAGGGCCAACCAGCAAAAATTAATTGAGGGGTGGTCAAGGGGCTCTTTCTTGGGGGGGGTGCCCCAAGCAAGGCCTATAGAAAATTAATCCAGGATCTTCTTAATTTCTAATTAATATTGGTGAAATCTATACAGACCCCCTCAATTAACTTTTTTTACTAATTTGAGGGGGGCCCCCACTAGGGACCCATCTAGTGTAGGGGTCATACTGTTTTGTTTTTTTATGTGTTATTTATTTTTCTTAGGACCTTACAGCCTCTCTCTCTCTCTATCTCTCTCTCTCTCTCTCTCTGTTATTTTTTACTCTTTGCCTGGTTATTTCTAAACCGTACTTTCTTTTTCTCCTGGAACATGAACTTACATCACTACCCTCTGCTACAAAGAATTATTCTTGCAGTTTGAGTTTGCAATGGAAGTGGCTTGGGATTCATGGAATTTGAGGTTTCCACGCCCAACCCGCACCTGACAGCCCTGAATCCGCATTTGGACACCAATGCTTATCCGGTGATGTTCACAAATGTGACTTGGTCTCGCAACATGTTTTCGTGCGACAAGCAGGGCATCGCTTCTAGGTTGGAGGCCATCGCTATTAGGTTGGAGGTTATCGCTAGTAGGTTCCTTTTGCTATTAGGTTGGAGTCCGAGGCCATCGCCTAATCTGTGAAATTTGTGATTTGACATTCCGAACCCCACAGGAGCTGACCTGCACGGCACGGCGTGATATGTGTGCTGGAGTATCTTCCTTTGGCTTCGGAGGAACCAACTCTCGTGCCGATCTTTGGGCTGACGTGGAGAAGGGCCCTTACAAGGAGCTCTTAGTTTCGGAACGTGCAGACACAAAGCCTCGGAGAAGAGGAACGTCGGAATGCGCAGTCGTGAGTCTTGCCAGGACGGGACCCAGATGGAGCTGACGCCCTCCGAGGGCGCCAAGTGGATCAAGCGACTCCTGGACAGCGAGACCACAGGCTCTCAGTACCAGTTCCTTGGTCGAGAGCTAGGAGCCCCTAGTAGTGTCCTTGCTCATAGTAGCAAGGCCAGGAGCCCCTAGTAGCGTCTTTGCGACCAGATTGGGACCAGATGACACCAGGTAACCAGTCCTTCAGAATTTTGGACTGTGAGAGTTTGATAGTTGATGTTCACTCAGGGTGGTGCAGCAGTTGGGCGTGTATCTGGGCGCATAGAATTTGAGCAAGCGTGTTTCATGTCCCTTTTCTCACTTTACAGAGGTTCAGAGCACAATAGCCTCCTACACTGCTACACTTCACCAAGGCAACACAAGAAAGGCCACTGAAGAGAGCTGCCCAATCCGGCAGGCGGAGTTCCAGGCATGTACAGGGAATCTGACCAACATGAAATGAGAGAACAAGGAACATGTCGGAAATTAGGACAACACATGTCGGAAATACAGCATACACTAAAAGCTGCAACACAGACCTAGCGTTGGACCCAGCACCCTTTCGATATTGCGATCGCTTGACGGTCCTCGAGACCTCTCCTTTCAAGCTGGAGCTTGTGGAACTAGTCCACGATTTTGCGATGCGCTACAGGGCTGTTTTTCCGATGCCCCAGCAGCAAATGACATCGCGAGAGCGCCGCTTGAGCGCTTGCGCATCAACACCAAGAGCCCAAAGGGGCGTGATGCGAACGTGCCCTTTCAAGGCCCTTGACGAAGGCCCTTGAAAAAGGCCTGGAAGGGATGATAATGTCTTCGACCTCCGGTCCGAAAGGGCTGGAAGGTGCATCTTCCGCTGGGGAGTCAAACAAGAAATGTGGCCACAGTGCTCATGGTGCCTTGTGCTTTTTGGTGTGGACAGTGGACAGCACAGTGGACAGCACAGTGGTGTGAAAAGAATGCTTTGTGTTGCACCCATGTTCCAGCAGGTGGGTGGTGCGTGCCACACCTAGATATGCATGCCATTTCGAAGACGACATGCTAGAGGCTATTGCAAGATCCAAGGTACAAATACCACAGATGGTTGTGTACTCTGCGGGACGGAGCAGATGTGTAGGCCTTAGCATTCTTGACTTTTGATTTGCTTGATGCGCGAAACATGCTTCGTTTGAGTCAAACCTTTGGGCTGTGGTCTGGGAGAATGCCAGGTCCAATCCCAAGTGCGTGTGATGCAAGTTGGTTTTCCTTGACACACGCTGAACTGCTCTGAATTGCTGATCTTTTTCTTTGAAGAAATGGTCTTCTTACAAGTTGGGATAGGCCATCGCTAGTAGGTTCCTTTTGCTATTTGGCTGGAGGCCATTGCCATTTGGTAGGAGGCCATCGCTATTAGGTGGACTGTCTTTTGTGTTCCCTGCCCAGGCCAGGGCCGAACTTCAAGGACGGGTGGTCCCGATGTGGTCTTGTTTTAGTTGATCCGCCGGATGCACAGCTTGGAATATTTGGGGATGCACGAGAGATGACTACAGAGCACTGAGTTGGATCTTCAAGCCTTTGATCCTAGACCATTGCTATTAGGTTGGAGGCCATCGCTCTTAGGTCCTTTGAAGAGTTTGACTGAGGTCCTTTGAAGACTTACCCTGTTCGGAGTGGCCAGCGTCCTTGAAGTGTGACTCTTGTTGGGGAGAGGCAAGACATGCTGAGACTGAGGTCAGTGAATCAAGCACTTCCCCTCTACAGTCTCACGCCATGATCTTGGAAGTTTTTGAGGTTTGCGTTGAAACATGGACCTGTTCAAAGTGGAAATTGTGAAGCTGAGTGAATTGGCTTTGTCACCAAGGGTTCAAGTCCAGGGCAATAAGGCCACGAGATGTGATGAGATGTTGTGAGATGTGCATCGGATGTTCTGCGGAGGTGGAAGCTTTGCCACACCTATGCTTGGGGGACGTAGTGCGAGCAACATTGGCACGCTTTTCCAGGGAGAGAGAGAGAGAGAGACACGCGCACACAGACACGTTTCTCCAACATTGGAACCTGTGGAGCTGACTCTTCATGCACTTAATCCTCCTGTACATGTGTGTCGGCAGTGAAAAGGACAGTGAAAGGATAGGTCTCAAAGGACAAATAAAAGAAATGATAAAGGGAAAAAATAGAAAAGAGGCCGTGCTCAGATTCATATCGATCCTTTGCCAGGTACATCGTGCCAAGATCAAAGCCAAGCTGCCTCGCTTCATGAACATCGAACCGCAGCGGCCCGCATCTGAAGTTGAGGGTGCCCTGCTTCAAGGGCTTTTCATGTACTACAGTACACACAATCCTGCCATGGTTGCCTTAGTAAATAGGACATTGTGGCGATCCTTCTAGTGACTTCTCCTTCTTGTGTGCTTGCAGCTGCAGGGTACGTTGGTGAGGTAGCTCAGTGGCAGTTAATGGGTGAAACAAGCTGTCCGAGGCATTCTGCAATTGTGGCCTTTCCCTGTCCCAACCAGCTGTTGGATGAGGCGTGGCTTATGTGAGTTGGTCAGGTTGGAGGTAGGTTGGAGGAGGTTGGAGGAGCATCGCTAGCAGGATGGAGGCCATCGCTAGTAGGTTCCTTTTGCAGGCCATTGCTGGTAGGTTCATTTTGCTATTAGGTTGGAGGCCATCGCCATTAGGTTGGAGGGCATCGCTATTAGGTTGGAGGGCATCGCTATTAGCTTGGAGGCCATCGCTAGTAGGATGGAGGCCATCGCTAGTAGGTTTCTTTTGCAATCAGATTGGAGGCCATCGCTATTAGGTTGGAGGTCGTGCCTTGTTTAAAAATCATAAGTATTTGGCCGCATGTAGACTGCACTAGGCAACTGATGCGTCTGGACAGTCACACAACCGCCCCTTTGCCGCAATAGAAACTGAGAGTCAAGTCTATTTATCCTATCAATCCTCCATAATTTGTTTATAGTGTAATCCTACTAGGAGCAACAGGACGCCATTAGGGGCTCCTGGCATCGCTACTAGGAGCCAGAAGCTACTGTACTAGGGGCTCCTGGTGACCCAATCTCAAGGCATCACGACCGTTTTGCCTGAACCAAAGATGGAAGAGTTTGCCTTTACGCTAAGCCGTGACCAGGATGAAGAATTTTAAGCAGCCTACGTGCAGAAATGCTTTGCGCAGGTCGCACATTTAATAAATTCCGCCAACGGGACTCGAACCCGGGTCGCTCGGGAGAGAGCTAAGTATGCTAACCAGCTAGACTATAGCAGATTCTGTTGGGCACAAGAGGGATCCACCGTTGAAGACTGGATGTGAGACAAGGCCACATCCAGGTTAGATACTCACTTGAGCAGTGCTGGCATCGCTACTAGGAGCCGGAAGCTACTAGGGGCTCCTGGCATCGCTACTAGGAGCCAGAAGCTACTAGGGGCTCCTGGCATCGCTTAAGAGCCAGAAGCTACTAGGGGCTCCTGGCATCGCTACTAGGAGCAAGGACGCTACTAGGAGTATAGGAATCATATGCCCACAATTCCATGACCTTTGAGGTGCACTCCAGGGCCAGGAGCTTGGTGATGGCAGAGCAACATTTTAATCTACCACCTGGATTCACACTTGAGCTGTTCACAACTGCGCCTCCTTTCACTTGCAGGGGCTGAACACACCATCGTGGAGGCCGACAAGTCTCGTGCACGCTCTCTCCAGGCAGCAATGTGAATGTGGAAGATCCCGCGACCACAAACCATCAGGTTGATCGTGATTGATCTAGCGAAATGTAAAGATGGCCTCAAAGACCTTTCATGATCATGATCGCGCAGCATTTCCCAGCTTGCACTTGTCGATATTTGGAGGGATGCTTAGTGGCTTAGTGCCTAAATATCCTGTGATGTTTTGAACTTTACATAACCCCAGGGCCTTAGGATCGAACCGGTTGTGTAGAAAAAAATCAGGCCTAGTTCGATGCGGAGGGTTGCCATGTTCTGATTCTCGTGCTTTATCCGCTATTGGAATATGCTCTATGCCATCTATGCTCCATGCACGTTTTCATCGGCCCTTCAACACACTGCCGTACGCAGCGGGTCGCGCGGGCCTGGGGGAGCCTCACGCCAGAGCAGCGACGGACGCCCGGAGGTGGGGCGACGCACCTGGCAGAGTTTCTCTTCGAAACAGCACAGCTAACGCCCTGCCGTTACATTGTAAATGGCCTGGCTATTCTGGAGACTACGGCAGACCTTCGTGCCGGGCGAGCTGATATCAATATCAATACCTCTCCCAATGGGCGGACAGTCTTACAGTTGAAGGCGCGAGATGGGAGTTTTCAAGTGAAACTGGATGCAGATGCAATAGTGGCCATCGAATTGGAAGATTCTGATACAGTTGCGCCGGGCCTCTTCAGGTTTGTTGATGCCCAGGGCCGAAGGCATCTCACTGTGTTGATGCTAGGCGATGATGTGGATGCCCGGTTCCAAATCATGCTCGGTCGCTGGACATCTCGAGTTCGTTTGAAGGAGTAATCATGCGTCCCAAAGAGGACGAGCATTGTTTTGAGCCCTCGATGGCACATGAAAGGAAACTCTGTCGTTTACTCACCCTTTCTCTTCACCAAGAGCACTTTCGAGAAAAGGGATGGCCTCCAACCTAAAAGAAGGGTTTTAAATGATATATTTTATTGTGCAGGTGTGGATTCAGAAGCGCCTCTCCAAGGAGACGATGTCACAGTCCAATCCCCAAAGAAATCCACACACGGAGCTCGACGTGTGAGACAAACAGGTAGCTTCTTGCCACTAGTAGCGATACACTTGTTACTAGTAGCTAGTAGCTTCTAGCTACTAGTAATGGCCTCCAACCCAATAGGGATGGCCTCCAACTCAGTAGCTTCTTGCTGCTAGTATGTGCATCTTTTGTGGCAGAATCCTTCGGACACAAACGGCTGCACACAAGCAGCTGTACCGCTCTGTCAAAATAGCAAACCATGCTTCGGTGACATTTGGAGACATTTCAAGGCTTTGGTGTTGAAAAGCAAATCTTTCGATTCAGAACATATCAAGAGCTCCAAGGTACTTGGTGATGATCCAAGAGCTCCTGGGGACTTCGGCGCAGCGGGATCTTGTGGTCAAGGCGAAACCGCCATGTTTCTGAGAATCTAGTAACAAGGACGCTACTAGGAGCAAAGGGCATCGCTACTAGTAACAAAGGGCATTACTACTAGTAGCATGCTTGCTACTAGGAACAACTTCCAATTTAGTTTCAAGTCTAAATTCGGACTGGGAGATACGTCATTGACGCAGTATATTGTATATTGAAGTGAGCTGGCTTTGCAAAAAGTGACAAAATTCGCATGGAACTGACCAAACCACCAGGTCCTTGCTGTCCAAGCTTCGCCTCCTTGCTTGGTGGTGTCTGATGGGTCAGTGCCATCTGTGAGTGTAGGCCTAAAGAGGGGGTATCGCTGCGGCTTTTTCTAACAATAGTTTCTTTGTTTGAAGCTATTCACATCGACTTTACTATTTTTTCCAATGT